ATTAGTTTAGTTCAGTATAGTACAGATCAATTAATGCTCCTGAATGAGTGTGAGCATTCAGGATAGCCTTCATGATAACAGGCGCTGGGCTTTTGCGTGAAAGCATTTTACCCACAAATTGGATATGTGGATTCTTATGCCCATGATTTCAGAAACACTTCCAAGCACGAGCAAAATGAATACCATACTGATTTCACAAAATAACAGTTCTCTGTGTGTTTACTTTGATTCCAGCAAAATCTGTCATTTTTTTCTTTCGCTTCTCCCCCTTTCTTAAGAGACTGTTAGAAAACTAAATATTGAGGTCATTCTTCACAAATTACTAAGTTGCCAAAAAAAAAAAGTTGGCTTTTTAAAAGCTTTGAATTAGGTCTGCTACTTGATCCATTTTAGCAGTTTTATTGAACTAGTAACATCACTCTCCCTGGATTATGATTCTGAGGGAGACTATTATTCAAAATGTTTAACAGAAGTTGAATGAAATCATTCACATGATCAAAGTGACTCATCTACATATGCTTTTTCAAGCCTCCTCAAAAACAGATGCTATTAGTTTACCAGTCTTTACACAATAACTAACCAGTTCCTATCAGGAGAATGGAAAACAATTCTAGGAAATAATCGTATTAGCTTTCATTGTAACAGAGGCAAACAAGACTAAATAAATTTTTAGAAGATTAAGAAAAAAGTAAACAAACAAACAAAACAGTTAAAAAACAAGAATACATTGTCCTTTAAATACTCTGGTATCTGAAGGCTGCTTACTAGACCAAATCCAATAAAATGAACTAGGTAGATTAGCTCCATTCATTGCTTTTAATTAAATACATCCTGAGCTATGCTCTCAATGAATTAGCAAGGAACATTTACAGCTTCTCATTTACACCCTTGCTAAAGTAGCATTTGGAATAACTCTATTCTGACTAATAATTGGGATGTTGGTGGTGTGTAGGAACTAGGTGAGTGCTCTGCAAATCCAAAGTGTTAATCCCAAGGAAAGGGAAGGATGATACAGGTGAAGTTTACCTTGGAAGTACCATATTTCCAAACCATGTAATCCACAATGTAATCCTGAATCCTCCTTAAGGAGAAGCTTTTCTTCAGAAATATTATCCTGACCTTTCTCTTACTGTTGCTATGGGAGGAAATGCTTCCTGGCTTCTGGCAAAGGGCCAGTAATTGTATTTAAATGGAGTGTTGAACAGCCATAATATGTGCAGTGTGCTATTATTTCTTTGCGGGAGGTTTATTATAGGCTTCTGGTATATAATCTAAATTAGATGTCTGAGGAAAAATAATGCTTTTAAGTTTGGAAATTGTATCCTCTCCTTAAAATTCCCCGATTTCCCTGATATTCTTTTGATGTTCTTCTGAAGCTGTAAATGTTATCTATACTCCTTAATCAAACCATCCTTTCAAACAGCTGTAACATAATGTCTCTCTTTTATGTTTATGGGAACTTGGATGCAATTATTTTACAGAGATGAACTTGCTATAAACAACCCTATCATTTCTAGACTTTCAAATTTCATTATCTTAAGCACAAATCAACATTGACGCTGCTCTGGTCTGGCTCTGATATGCTGCTCAGAATTAACAAGGGTGGGTGATGTTTTATTCAATTTCATTTTATTAGGGAGTAAATTTAGCAAGTAACTTAACACAGGTTGGAGGCCAAAGTTTTTTAAGCTATTCATGATACTTATGTCTTAACAATTGGTGGTCACAGTAAAATGACCACATTATCCTTTTCTGACACAAGTGCCTGCAAGTGAATAAATTTTAGACTACTGTGCTGTTAACTGAGTGATTATTGGTACTCGGGATTTTATCATTCTCAATCTCATGGATTTACAAGAATTAATTAATATTGTATATTTGATTTATAAAAGATGTGACTTCTTTCCCTCTCCATTTTTTTAAAAATAGGTTTGTTTATATATGTCCATACTTACTCAAATGTATATAAAAGGTGTTCTTGCCAGTTTATAAACTTAGCCACAGAAGTCAATTAGGCAGACATTAATGGTTCTGGTGTTGGCTTCTCAACCCACTGAAAAGAAATGATATTGATTCTGATTTCAGCAGATGCCAGATAATTCCAGGCAGTGCAGTGCTTTTTATCCTAAAGTGTATTCATAGAGAGAGTCTAAGTCTGTGAAGTGCCATAGAAAAGAAATTCAACCTCTTATAACATTATAACATTACATGTGATCTGAATGTTTCCCATGTTTTGTTCTTCTATCTCTGCCTTTTTGCTTGCGGTGACTTTTCAGCAAAGGTTATCTTTCTTGACTTTCTCTTGACTTTCTTCTGCAGTTTCCATCCTTAGTGCCTCTGAGAAAGCCGCATCTGCCACAGTCTGATGTGAACCAGCTGCACAACTGTATTCAGTAAGAAGGTAAAATATACACCTACTATTATCTATTTTCCCTAACTGTGTGTACTTAGTGATGTCTTACCATCCTCCACTGTCAGTTTGCTAAGAATTGTACTGTACTAGGGCTGCTTAACACATATCTAAAATAAATTAGAAATACATTGATCTCCATAATCAGGAAGTAATTTCTGACACCTCTGCCCTCCTTTTAAAAGTGGGCACTTCAACTTTGTAATTACAGGCAGGATAAATAGAATGGCCAACCATCACAAATTTCATGAAGTTCACACATGCCTAGCAATGCCATTACAACTTCTGCTGGTCTAGTCGATGATAATTATGAGTTTATTAATAAAGTACGTAGGCATACAAAGGGTAATAAGACTGGTCTGCTGAGTAAGACTAAAGTTTATCTAGTTCAGGATTCATTTTTTGACAGTTACCAATAATAGATGCAAAGGGGAAGATTTAAGAACCTGCAAGCATGTTGTGACACACTTCCCAGGAATGCTGAATGTTGGCTGCTTCAAGACTTTCTGAAAATGGATCTTTATATTTAACAGCCTTTGTTTTCTTTGTAACTCTAACCTGTAAAATTATGTAAAGGATGGGATTCTATATCTTAATTACACATGACTGGGAAATGATTTATTTTTTCATTTTGCAACAATGCACAATTTTCATTTGAAGCACACAAGTGCATGTCTTGGAGAGGAAATTAAATATCATTTCTATTCATATTCTCCATACATTATAATTCCAGAGATCTTCAGAACTTTATTCATCAGCTATTTTCCATGACAAAGAGTAGTACCCTATTGAATTGCTTGAAATACTCCATTCCTTTGACTGCAATTGTTGTTTTTTTTACTGCCTTCTTTTAGTTAGGCAAACTGAATTGTCTGACCACTACTAAATATGAGTTTTACGTAAATTATCATTACGTTAAATTAAATAAATAAATAAATAAAAAGTAAATCAAGAACTTAAAAAGTGTTGAAATTAAGGGAAAAAACCTCATCTTCCAAAACAAATTACTGCCTATCCAATTTAAAAGCACGTCGTATACAATTATTTTCATGGCTGTTTAAGCTAATGATATTGTTTTGTAATTGGTCTAGGTCAACACATAATACCGGATCACCTTTCAAAAGTAGCTGCCTACCAGCAATTTCATCTTATACTGTAACTTGATGGTTGTGATTACCTGATGCACAGTGTTTTGGCACTTAATGTACAGTAGGAATGAATCTGCCAAATAAGAAATGCAGTTTTTTACATTCATTTCAACATTATTCTTCATAAGGATTTATATTGTTCGTGAAGTTCATAAAGTTTTTGAAATCCTCGGATAAGCATGCATTTTATAGCTGGCACTCCAAAATTCAAATAGTAGTTAATATAACAATATTATCTTTGACAAGATAGGACACAGAGAGTGCGCAAAGAATGTTGTTGAGTTGTATTTCACAGGGTTTTTTTTTTACAAAGTTTATGTGCATGAAGTATGTCACTGACACCACTCACTCACAATGTACAGTCTGAAGAAATCCGACTAAGAAAATCTGAGATAAAAGTAGGAAGCAGCAGGGAGACTAGAGTGAATGAAGCAAAACATATCAATCTGTGGAAGATGCCTGACTGCTTCCAATCGTACTGTCATGATCTTCTGATTTATCCTCTCGGAAGGAAGGATTGCAATTATAATGTACCAATAGGTACAAAAATGGAAATAAAAATACATCTTGAACATAGTTTAAGGTTTGTCAGTTTTATACAAAATCTCCACTGGGGCCTTCTTAAACCTTTGTCAGAATCAAAATAAGATTCAATCAAGCTTGTTTTATGTGATTCACAAAGACTAAAAAGGCACTAAGTTGTTATGAACTAAAAAGCTTGAATATATATGAATGAATATGCTCTGGGCTCAGATTTTAGGAAAATGAAACAATAATTGCTACTAGGAGGTTTAGGAGTGAATTAAATATTAAATATTGCTGTATTTACCACTGTAAAAGTCTGAGTTGTCTCTGTTGCAGTAAAGAGTATATCAAGAATAATCACAAGAAACAAATATAATTGCATAAATTTTATGCTAGTGTTCGAAAATCCATGTTCTCTGAGTTCTAAGTACCTAATAAATATTCTTCAGAAATTTTCTATGACTTAGAAGATTACTGCTATATTACTAAGAAGATAATAAAGTAGAAGCAAGCTAAATGATTTGCATAAGTAATAACAGCATGTCAATAGCGAGAGCTGGTAAAAAGACACCAGGAATCGTAGTGCTGTAAGTGGCAGTCAGAATCTGCTGTCAGAAAAAAAAAAAAAAAAAAAAAAAAGAAATAGTTTGAATGGATTTTTAAAACAAATGAAAATTTATAATTGTTAAATCTTAATAATTCATTCAATTCTTTCTGACTGAACAAGAAAACACAGAAAAATATTCAGTTCAGAGCCAGAGTAAAGGAAACCTCTGTGTTAGAAATATCAATTGAAAACACCATTTGTAATTTCAAATAGTTGAAAACTGGTAGCCAAAAGAACTGTTTTCAATCCAGAATTTCTGAATACATCTATTTATTCAGAAACCATGGAAATTTTCTGAGCAGTTCTACCTTTGACAATTTACTTATTCAGTCCACTTCCTCTACAGTTATCCAAAGGACGCCTTTGTGCCTTCCAACAAGAGACTTTATTACACCACTTTCAACATTTCTACATGGTCTACTTCTGTTCATGCTTTGAGTCAGACCTTCATCAGCCTCAGGTCTTTTATCTATGCTGAAACAAAGACATCATATAAAAACAAGCTAAATCCTACTGCATGACTTTTCTGCTCATTGGGTGAGTGGCCATACTGGTGAGTCTGACCTCAAAATGGCCCTATTATGTGCATGAGAAACCACAGTCTGGATTTCTACTGTTTCTTTTGACTGCACTTTGCCTGCTTTTGTCTGCAGTTTGATTTTCTGGATCACAATAACGAGGATATCGTACTCTAGCCTATGTGTAGACTCTCCTGCCAGCCCTCAGGCTTGCAGAGATGGCTGCAGGTTTCACAGTGAGATAGGTAGGCGTGGTTTGGCAGTCGGATTGAATCCGCACTGCTCTGACTTCTCTGTGGTGTCACCCTATCAAAATGCCTCATGGAGGTGAATGGTTTTCAGGCTTTTGAACTACTTTGCCTTTCCTCAGTCATTTTGCTTGTTTCAGTTTTGTGAATCGGAGCAGATATGAAATACAGATAAGTCTGAAGATTTAAGGGGGAGAAAAGTGTGTCAGATTCTGATGCTTTCAAAAAATTCTAGTAGATCTGAAACTGCTTCACATAACAGCTAGCATAATGGATGCAGAAATAAACTATCATCCTTTTGAAAAGAAGACCCATAAGAAACTGGGTATACAAAGAATGAGGGGAAAATCTTGCTGAAAACAGTTCTTGTCACAGGTACTAAGAATCTGTCATTATATTTTCTGTGGAAGCTTGTGCTGCCATTAATTGGGCACGCAGACATATTTCTCAGAATGAGTTGTTTAAAGCACAGCTCCCTTCTCTCACTGTAGTGTAGTCAAAATAAAACCTTCCAAACAGCCCTTTCAACTTTCACTGTCATCACCTGCCAATGTGACTCTTTGAAAGAGTTTTTGTTTTAGTAGCTGCTTGAGATGAAAGAAGCATAGTCCTATCCACAGATAAAACTCATGTGATGAATCTCTGTTGCCATTTGGACAAGAAGGAGTGCTTTTCTTCCCAAGATTTTATTGATTGTTTGTGAACTCATTGATAAAACAGGCTGTGTGCCTTGCTGCAAAATGCTGCCAGCTCTGCATGCCGTCTGGTTTAATAACGAATCCAATACTAAATGTCCTATTTATGACAGGAGCCTTATGAAAAGCTGTGCTTTTAAAATAACAAATGGTATTTGTACATCATTTTACTGAGGAGAAATTCTTCAAAGGAAACAGGAATTAGAGTTGTAATTATATTTATTTTTTAAAAAGATTAAAGTCATGTTCTGTAAGTTTATCAGTGGGAAGTTAAAAAAAAATATGAATTTAAGGCTAAAATCATGGGAAAGAGGCAATCCAAGCTACACTGTTCTACCTGGAAAGAGAATTATGTATTCTTTTATCTGATATCAAAGCAGAGAAATTAAATTCTGAAACTTCATAAGATCCTGGCTGGAATTAATCAATAGGATTCAAAACATTCAAAGTATCACCTTGTATTAGCAAGGATTAGCTATGTGCATTGAACTACAGTTAATCTGGAAATGCCAGCTATGTTCAGAGTTACCCTTAGCTGCAAGCAGGAAATTGGAGCAGTTTGTGATCAGTGTTCTTCCTCATGTTTGCTGTGAGTGATGGAGGGAAGTCAGTGTAAGTGTACGTACTCAGATAATCAGTTACCTGACAGGGCTTTGGATGATGAAAAGTCTTTTCTCTGTCTCCGGAGAGCACAATTCTTATTTCAGACACTTCCTAGAAGACAATGGGATGGAAGAAGAAACTCTAGATTACAGTGGGATGACAGTGATCTGCTAATAAAAATGTAAAGGTCAAAAGGCTTGATCCTTCTCTGGTGTAAACTAGCATTACTTCTGCTATGACACCTGCCTACCCCTGCTGAGGATCTTGATTACCAAGGTAGTTTCTGTATCTTTTTTGCTTCGATTGTCACACAGCACAAAGGCCGAACATAAGCCAGATAAGCACAGTTAGGTTTCAGACAGAAGCAATTGCTTTTAACATACTAAGTATGGGTCTCAAAGTATAATTAGCAGGCAGCTTTCAGGCAGCTTTCAGAAAACAAAAGCATACAAATGAGAAACAAAAGCACCAAACCCCACACAACCCTCAAGTTGGGCTCAACAGCAAGGACCACTGCGGAGTCTTCATTACATTAGAAGGGACACAATAGGTAATCTGTGGCTCATGTACTTAGCTTTTAGTAATTAAGACCATTCCACTCCTAAGGACACATGCACGGATGATCTAAAAGTAGAACTGACACTTTCATGAAATATCTAGAAGGAAAAAGCAACTTCACTGGTAATTTAATCTTTTTTTCTACTTGATTATATATTTACCAAATAAATCACACTTCTTTCAAGTATGTACCTTCTACACTGAAGTGATTACAAAGCCCTGTTTAAGTTGTATATGGCTGCATATTACTTGAATTTCCACTAATTCATTCCCATTTTATTTATTTTTTTGTTTTATATTTATTTTTCAAATTCTTGGAATGGAGAACATAGATTACAGTTCTGAGAAAAACACACATGGTATTACATGGAAGATATTCAAATGTATTTTGTCAAATCCTGACCTGGTACTTTCTTGCCAAATGATTGGAATTCATTCTGGAATGGACAGAAAGTCAATTGACCTGGCTTACATCTGTCTCCAATTGAATTGCTGTTGATTGATACATGGCATTCATACAGAGGGGTGATTTCCCTATGCTTACATTTTGATGGACTGGAACTCAAAACTTGCCTTGTTAAGGATTCTGCTGTTGCTTCAAGGTATTATTATTATTATTATTATTATTATTATTATTATTATTATTATCATTACTATTATTATTATTACTATTATTATTATTATTACTTGAAGGGTGCAGTAAATGTAAATTAGCTGCAGTTGATTGGAGATCATTATTCCTACTTTCATTACAAGTAATCTGATTTGTGCAGGGCCTTTTGTGTTGGCCTTTCTGTCACTATGTGCACTCTCCAACAGCTTGGAATTCTCTGGACAGAATAAAATTGCTGATTGTATCACTCCTACTCTGCTGTCCTTGCAGTGCTTCTCTGCTTGACAGTAACTAGTTGCCATGGAAATAATTGTGGTGTCACAAATTCAGTGCTATGATTTCAATAGAGGATCATGTAAAGTGGAAGAAATGGTCTGCAAGAACAGTTAGCACAAATGGCAAAGAAACAATAAAAATATATCCAAGAGGACAACACTGTCTGGTAACTGTCTCTAAAGCTTTTCTGACTTGTCCTTCAGGTAGATTTTCAGGTCAGATTTCTTTTCCTCAATATTTCTGTTGATGGGAACTCCTCGCTCTCTGCCACATTTTCTATTAATCTTTAGGCAGTTAGATATTCAGTGAAGTGACAGCAGCATTCCACAGCAGCAGGTATCTAAGGCTAGACAAAGTACACCAGACAGTGTCTCATTTGTATTCTGCCCCACTTATGGCTGAGAGATTGCTTACATGAAGCACTGGTACACAGCCATGGCCCTTCTGGCATTCAACACATGCAAAGAAGTCATGTGCATCAGACATGGAGGGAGGTGAGAAAGATTTTTTTTTCTGCCAGCCACTGCACCTGGAGCTGTTTGTTGGATCAGAGACATCTCTCTCTCTCTCTTTTTTTTTTCTTTTTTTTTTTTTCTTGTGTCATAGGTATTGGAATATTTCTCATTTGTGCTTTACTCATCAGAAAGCTGTCCAGACATTGATAGCTATATATGGAAAAAATTCTTGTCTACTAAGAGACACAAAACACCTATTAATTCTATTGATTAGTTAATGAAAATCTCCATGTATTGCAGCAAGGATTTGTGTATGTTTGAGCTTTCTCCCCCAGCTTGAGCATATTTAGTTTCTGAGGGCACTATCAGAGGTTTAACTCTTTAATTATGGTAGGTTAACCAGAAGTCCCAGTTTGACTGGAAAAGATCAAGAATGCTGGAAATTACTGTGCTGGCCCAGTCAAAAGCTATGAGAATTTATTTTTGGCACAACTTTTTTTGCTAGGAGAGCAAGGACTCATCTTGTTGCCACCTTTTGAGACAGTGAATAAATAATTCTCAGAAAGTTGCAATAGACAGGAACTTGGGCTCTCCATTGGCTCACACTTAGCTCAACGTATTCATTTCACCTGCCTGGCTGTAGCTAGGAGTTATTCCAATTTCCTACTTTCCAAAAAGCCTCATGAGATTCCAACATTAGGATGAATGCTTCCTGTATGAGCCTGTTCTAATAGAAAATTTGTAGTCAAGTTAGAGCCATAACATGCATGAAGGCATAAAGGCATAAATATATTCTATATATAGTATGTATATTATAGATTATTAGCCAGAAATTCTATTAAAGGATACAAAATCAGTCACTCTATGCTTTATTTAATTATCTGTAGAACAAAGTCATTAATTTGTCCTTACTTCATAGGCATACTGTGGGGGTTAATACACTCATGACTAAAAGGAACTTACACTGGAGACAACACAATAGCCAAATAGGATTTTGGAGGGTGAGTTTCTTTCACTTTTACCAAACTGATTAATTCCTGGCATAATGACATTGACTTTAAAGAAGCAAATTTTTTCATTGAATTTTAAGTTTCAAAATAAAGATATGAAGGTTTCTTCTGTGCGGCCCACAGCTTCTAAAAGTTATAGGTTAAGCTGCATTTGAAATGTGTCCAGGGTGTCTCCAACACATACCAGCATACTTAATCCTTCATGTTTGGGCAAAAGTTATTCCCTCCTGGTTCTGGATCTGCTTGAAATAATCAACTTTCTCCTCACAAGCATTTGCATGCATGAATTAGTTCTCTCATGCATGGAGAGTGTTTTTTATTTCAGAGAGAAATTTAAGGAAAGAGTGAAAGATGTTTTGATTTATGTAAAGCTGTGAATATTTTTGGAATTAATTTTTAAATCTAACTACAAAAAGCTTAAACTGATATAATTTGTTTGAGGTCTTCTGTATTTGGAAATGTTAAACAAGTTTAGAAAAATGACTGAACAATATTAGGAGTCTATTCCTAGAAACTAATCTTGGTAAATATCACAAAAGAATTGATATGGGATACATAAATACTGAGAGAATAATACTTCGATCAATGACAAGAAAACTAGTTGGGTGTTTGTGTTCTTGTTTTGCTTTGTTTCTTTGTTTCTTTAGTGTTGTTGTTTTTGTTTGTTTGTCTTTTTTTTTTTTAAATAGAAAATCAGTCTTGTCAGACCAGCTGGATATTGGGCTTTTTCTTTCTTTCTTTTTTTTTTTTTTTAATGGTATTACAAGCATGATTGTCAAAGTTAGGTGCTCATACTACAAAGTTTAGGAGTTCTCTTCAGGATGGAAATGGCAGAAAGTAAGGGCCTGAGCTCTGTGAATCAAATAGTCAAGGAAAAGGTAAGTCTATACCTTGTATAGAAAGAAAGAGCTAAATCCCTACCAGTAGGAATCCCAAACTCTACAAGTTGATTTTGGAAATGATACAGAAAATTCCTTTGAAAAGGAAATACCTGGAACTTGAAAGAAGAGATGGAAAAGTTAACTATTACTGTAGTCTTCTGAGGCTATATGTTTTAATTCTGCCTCCCAAAGAGGTGGTAGTGTTCATAGAAATGAGTCAGGACAGGAATTTATCTTGCTTTGGAAGAGCTTCCTTAACCCCCTGATGAGGGAAAGGGAAATCATCCTTTGACTTTCATTCCTATGTGAATTTTCTCATGTTTTCGGGGCTCTAGTTAGGCATTCTGAACTTGAGCCTCTCTTCTTGTTCTTTCATGTTTTGCAAAAAATTAATTTTACTACTGAAACTTGGCACTATCCACAGAAGTACTGGATTTTCTGGATGTAATCTACAGTTTTAAAACAAGAAGGAAATAAAGATTTTCCTGCTTTTCCTCACACCCTTTGCATAGGGCCAGCTCCGTTCAGGACTGATGAATGCTTGGCCGTGAGCTCTCTCTGGGCCACAACAGGATCCTTCTGATCTTAAGAGAAAATCAAAACTACTTCTGAGCTTTTTGTTTGAAATGTCTGTAATATCAGAAATTTTGCAATCTCTCAGACTTCCATTTTTTATAGAGTGAGGCACATTGTGTGCTTCAGGCTGAGGCAAAGGACAGCTGAGGCTGTTTAATGTTCAAAACCAGCTAGGACATTGCTGGAGGGCTGTGTGTGGTGAAATGAGCCCTAGGGAGGGAGGCAGCTCATCTACACAGCGTTTGGAGAGCATGCTCCAGTGGGAATTATCACCAGCGCTGCATATGGAAGAGAGCTAAGTGGAGAGGTCCAAAACCAGTGAGGAGAGAACTAATACATATGCAGTTTAGATTGATGATTAAAGGTCGGTCCTTCATCTCCTTTCACTTCTTTGATTTATATTACATGTGTATTTATATAAACTAACTACAGAGATGCCTGAATAGATGCAGAAGCGATGTTATTTCTTTCTCTCCTGACTATATTCATGACAAAACCAGTCGCTTAGACTCCATCCAAGAAGCTCTGCATGAGATATATATATTCTCATTCTTTTTGATATGAAATCAATGCAGTCCAAGCAAGTTAGCTATTGTCTGAATAGCAAACAGGTTTTTTTTTCTGTTTTTTTTTCTGTTTTTTTTTTTTTCTGGTTTTTTTTCTTCTTTTTTTGCCAATATATGTAAAAAATTGCTTAGTGTTTACACACTGAATGGTAGGAGTTGGGCAAGGTGTACCTTTCAGATGATCCAGGAGGTCTTGGCATACTAGACTGAATTCCAATGGATTCCCAGACTGCAGGTTATAAATGACACATTAGATATCTGGTCAGTTCACTGAACCTTCTCTCTTCCTGATGTCTCTCAGACATTTGATGTAGTCCTGTATTACATTCAGATATCAAAATTATCACTCTACAAAATCGGTGAAGATCTCTTAAATGGACTAAAACTAGCTCAGTTTGGCAAGTGACAGCTTGCCAAAACAGCAGCCTTTGTGTAGGGGAGAGTTGCATTTGATCAGTTATTCTTAGGCTTTGATGTTCTCTCTGTTTTATCATGTATTTTCAATTTTTCAGTAGAAGATTCTGTCTTTCAGGTATTTTAGTTGATGTTGTTCATATATATAAGGGAAATATTTTTACAATACAAATTCTTGTAAATAAGTGTAAAAACTCTCCAAGTGATGAAAAGAAAAAAAAAGAAAACAGCACCCAGCCAACCATCCCACCTTTTATTCACAGTTTCCAAGTTTTCATCCTTTTTTATTCTTCCTTCCCCACCTCCGCCCTTCCAGAATTTGAGATTTCAGCATCTCTGCCTATTTTAAGAAAGGAGAAAAAAATCCTGAAATCCTGAAGATTTTGCAATATGGAGAAATTATTTGCCATGCAGCTCTAATTAAAAACTTTCTCTAATTAAATATTTGTTAATTGTCAGATCTCAAAAGATTGTAATAATGAATCATCACACTGTGGAACTAGTCCCTCTGCAATCTGTTCTTGACCAAATGCTATACAACATCCTTATCAGTAGTCTTGAGAGAATATAGACATTTTTATTATAAGTTACAGAAGAAAGAAATGGTCGGTGCAGTCAATAAAGAGAATGCCTACTTTCTATGGACAAATTTGGTAATTCCCATAACAATTGTTTTCATTTAAAAGAATCAAATATCAAAACATTGCAGTCCTTGTGGAAATTAGCAAATAGGTCATTAATAGAAACTAGTGGGAAGTACTTGAAATGTTGAAACATTCAAAATTGTTGTGGTAGTAAAGCAGCTTATTGTAAGCTGAGTGATGCTGTAGGTAACAGGAGAAACAGCTCTGCTGCATGCACATCAAATATGAAAAGGAAGTTGATATCCATCTTGTGTGAAGTACAGCAAAAAGATATTGCAGCACAGTGACCAGACCCTGTGACTGTTCTGCAGAAAAGATGATGTAAACTCAGGTGGTTCAGAAAAGAGCCGCAAAAATGCTACAAGTTCTAGAAACCTGATTTGTAATGAAAGAGTGAGGAATTTAAGGAGCTGCTAACCTGATTACTGATACACCTACAAATCAAAGGATATCAGGCTGAAG